AATTATTCCGCCTGGAAGTATATCATGGTGCCGAAACCCGGGAGTGAGGATCGAACAGCGTAAGCGGAACTCCGAACTTTGCCGATCGACTGCACTCTACTGCTGTGGGATCTTGGACAGATACATATGGAACGCCTGAAATCGAAGCGTACCGTCCGACGTTCGCAAAACACCCGGCTCATCAACGAAGCTACTGCAGGTCTTGAAACTGCAGACCTGGCTACTCTAACATCGCTGCTCGACCGACTGACTAAGAGCAACAACGAGCTCCGTCAAATTAATACCGAGACCGAAGACCACATCAGCGATGGAGACCTCGTAGCAGAATACACTGCAGTAGTCGAGTACGATGACGAGGCTACGAGAATGATCCCCGTGCTGGGTAGTAGGGCAGCTACCCTCCAGGAGAAGGAAGGACAACCGCCGCCTCCGCCATTGGTGTCGACGCAGTCAGCAACAGCGACCGGAGAAACAGCACAAGCTAATAGAGCCACGGGAGTCAAGCTTCCCAAGCTACGTCTCCAGACGTTCAACGGCGACATTGGTGGATGGCAGAGCTTCTGGGAGCAGTTCTCTAGTTCAATCCACGATAACGAGAGCGTCCCGCGCTGCCAGAAGTTTCACTATCTGCGCACTCTTGTCACCGGACCAGCAGCTGCAGCGATCGCAGGGCTACAAGCCACTGACGCCTGCTACGATGACGCCATAGAGATTCTTTCTCGTCGATTCGGAGACAGACGACGAATCGAACAAGACCATCTGGCAAAACTGCGGACGTTGCCATCCGTCAGTTCATCAAACGACACCAGAGGTCTACGACGGATGTACGACCACCTACAGATAAACATCCGCGGACTGAAGGCTCTCGGGGTTGGGTCAGACACGTATTCCACCATGATGGCTGACATTATACTGAGAGCACTACCGAAAGACCTAGTCGTCGATTACTACCGACGAACTAGCTTTACATACCCAACAACGTCGACTGAAGCCGTCCAGCAAAGACCTGAAGCAGCACAAGCTTCAAGTCACAGCTCCGCTATCTCGGCCTGCACCATCCCAACAGCTCCGCTTGTTGATGGGAAGCTTTCACGGATCCTGAGCTTCCTTCGGGCCGAGGTGGAAAATAGAGAAAGAGCCGGGTTAACTGAGACGACAAGCCTAGCGTCGAGACATAATCAGAAAGGTCAAGCACGGAGATCCAGAAAGCCAGCAGCTGCAGTGCTGCAGACAAACATGGAATTTGGTTGCTTCTTCTGCAAATCAACAAAGCACTCAACTGAGACCTGCGTTTTACCCCTTGGGCAAAAGAAAACGCGACTATCCGGCGACATGCGATGTTTTCGATGCACTAAGAAGGGACATCGAGCAAAGGACTGTCGTGGAAAGGTCTCATGTTCTTCTTGCTCCGGAAGACATGACTGACCCCAACTGGAAACCGCGCTCAAAAGGTACTGCTGAAGAGACCGTGATTACAAGCGTGCAGAACACCAGCGCCAAAAAGGTAGATATTTGCCTGGACAACGAAGTTCTCCTCCAAACATTCCGTGCATGGGCTGTTACAGACGACGATAACTGCTATTTCCGTGCCATCATCGACGGAGGGAGCCAGCGGACATCCATTCGCAAGGATACTCCCGGAAACTTAATCTCAAGGTGCTGAAGCAGACAAGTCTTCGGTTGAATACGTTTGGCAACCCAAACGCCCTAGCTCAACAACAGCGAATCGTACAAGTACGACTACGTAGTCAATATGGTAAGACTGAGTGTCTCCTTGAGGTGGTAGAAATACCGCTCACCTGCAAGGACATTACGCAAGTGCCAACAGACTACGAATTTCTTCGTAGTGTCGAGGAGAAAAAAGGGCACATCGCGGACGAACTATTGTTCCCAGGCATGCCGTCTGTACCTGGCATAAGCATGCTTCTTGGATATGATCAGCTATGGAAGATCACGAAAGATCAAGTACATCGGTGCTGTAACAACGAAAAGATGACAGATACCAATGCCATCTTTTCCTGGACTTTTCATGGTCCTATATCACTCCAAAGTTCCTTGACCTGCAGTGCCACCAGGACGACCTGCGTTCTGAACATCACAGCGTTTGAAAACAACCAAACTGAATCAACGCTGCGCAGTTTTTGGGAACTGGAGAGTATAGGAATAACAGACCAAACTTGTGCTCAAAATGAAGAACACAGTTCAGTGTACAAAGAGTTCTGTCGAACGATCTCGAAGTCAGAAGGACGGTACGAAGTATGCCTGCCTTGGAGGCAAAACACAGGGGAGTTGAAGGACAACCGTGTGATGGCTGTCAAACGACTCGAAGGACTGAAAAGAAGACTTTTGCGGAACGAGCTTCTCGCGAACGACTATGACACAATCATCAGAAGCTACGTCACCGCAGGACACGCGGAGAAGGTACCCACAAGATCATCAGATATCGAGTCTCCATGTAAGCGTTTATACTACATGCCTCACTAAGCAGTGGTTAGAAACGAATCGGAGACCACAAAACTACGTGTAGTCTTTGACGCGTCTTCGCATGAGCCAGGGGTTACTTCCCTTAACTAACACCTTGAGAGAGGACCTAAGATGAACGCTGATCTCGTCAAGATCTTGATACGCTTCCTTCTGCATCCAATCGCCGTTACAGCGGATATAGACAAGGCGTTTTTGCAGATCAGTGTACGACCTGAAGACAGAGATGCACTACGCTTCCTTTGGTTTGAGAACAAGGTGAGCTCAGTGAAAACAGCTCCGAAAATCAAAGAATGGAGAATGACGCGCGTTCCTTTAGGAACATCCGCTAGCCCATTCCCTCTTACTGCGACGCTGGTCCATCACTTGCGAAACGTGAAGGAAGAGTGGAAGAGCACAGCTCAGCTCCTCCAAGAATCATTTTACGTCGATGATTTGTTGGTCGGGGCCCAGTCTACCGAAGAGGCAGCTAGCATACATGACCAAGCAAAACTAATTTTGGAGGATGCAGGAATAACGCTCCGAAAGTGGTCGACCAATTAAAGAGAATTGCAAAACCTGTTTGAGGAAGGTTCAGATACACTGTTCGCCGAACCTAAGACGGTTCTTGGGCTACGGTGGAAACTCGAAAATGATCAGCTGATGATTCCCATCACTAACATCGTGAACTTCGTCACGTCGAACGAGAAAATTAAACGTCACGTACTGCAAGCAGCAGCCAGAGTGTTCGACCCGTTGGGGATGGTCGCTCCATACGTAATGAGAGTGAAGATACTATTCCAACGCATTTGGGAAAGGGGCCTTGACTGGGACGATTATCTACCAGACGATTTGGAGTCACAATGGCAAGGTTGGTGCTCTGAACTACAGCGTATACAAGACGTAGTGACAGGTCGCTGTATTATAAAGGCTCCAAGAAATGCATTCACTCACTACAGCTACACATCTTTTGTGACGCAAGCCCGCTGGCTTACGGAACTTGTGCTTACTTGAGATTGAGAGTCAAGGACAGAGATGGGAAAGTAGATACAAATCTGGTACTCTCAAAGTCACGTGTAGCACCGATAAAACGGCTCACACTTCCTCGACTTGAACTGATGGCGGCAGTGGTCGGGAGCCGAATGGGGCATTACCTCGAAGACATCCTGAGCTGTCAGGACACGTCATACTGGACACATAGTACTATCGTTCTCCATTGGATAAAAGGAAATGCTAACAAATGGAAGCCCTTTGTAGCAAACAGGGTGGCCGAGATCCAAGCTAAAGGGACACCTTCAACCTGGAAACACTGCTTTGGAGTGGATAATCCAGCGGATTTATTAACACGGGGAATAACCCCAGAAGACTTGTTGACAAGTCAAGTATGGTGGAAAGGCCCGATATGGCTTTCAATGAACGAAAACACTTGGCCCGGTGTGCCTACCACTGAGATTGTCCCGGATGCGGCTATTGAAGACGAAAGGCGACATGTGCATCATGCGCTCCAAACGACTACAGAACGGGAGCCGCCCCTCCTGGCGTTAAAAGACTACAGCAAACTTGGACGCATTCTTCGCATCACTACCTGGGTGATGAGGTTCGCCAAAAATTGTAGGAAACAGAACCAACATATCGGCCCTTTGAAAACGGAGGAGCACGAGCGAGCAGAGGCTTATTGGATCTCCCGAACCCAAATGGAGGCTTGCTCACAAGAAATGAAAGATATTTCTGACAACAAAGGGAACAATGAAAAATCTACTACACACTCACTAAGCCCCTTCGTCGACTCAACCCGACTTTTGAGGGTTAGTGGACGACTCCAGAACGCTAACGAAACGGTGAGAGCGAAACACCCACTCCTACTTCCTCCTGAGCATCCTTTTACAGAGCTGATTGTGCACGACTGTCATCTACGAACTCTCCACGGAGGTATCCAGGACACCGCAGCACAACTGCGAGAGCGATTTTGGGTGCCGAGAGGACGACAGATCGCAAAGAAGATCATACACAGTTTTAATGGCTGCGCTAGACTGAGAGCAAAGAGGGCCTCTGCTCCCACAGCACCAGTTCCACAGAAGCGAGTGAGTGAAGCCGCTCCATTTGAAGTGGTTGGGATAGATTTTAACGGACCGCTGTTTGTAAAGTCCCAGCCATCCGACGAGAAGGCTTACATCGCCCTGTTCACTTGTGCGGTTACGAAAGCAGTTCACCTTGAACTTGTCTCAAATCTATCAGCTGCGGCTTTCATCATGGCATTTCAACGATTTACATTCCGACGGGCACTGCCCAGGATTGTTTACACTGACAATGCCCTAACGTTTAAGAAGGCATCGAGAGATCTTTGCAACTTATGGAATGCAATCCGAGACAAAAGTGTCCAGGAGCACTACTCGAAGCATCGGATAACGTGGAAATTTATCGTGGAACGAGCGGCATGGTGGGGAGGATTTTGGGAGCGGATGGTGCGAACGGTCAAGACCTGCCTTCGGAAAGTTTTGGGAAAAGATCGCTAGAACTTTGAGAAACTCACTACTATTCTCCATGAGGTAGAAGCCATTGTCAACTCTAGACCACTGATGTTTCTGCATGCCTCTTCAGGTGAGCAGGAAGTGCTAACTCCCGCACACTTTCTGACCGGAAAGCGCGTGACGTCGCTTCCAACATCATGCGAACCAGACACAAAAATTGACACCAGCAACGACCTCACTCGTCTTTGGAAGCACCATCAAAGGCAGCTAGATCACTGCTGGACTAGATGGCGCCGCGAGTATCTTCTTCAATTACGGTCCGCGCACCAGTCGCCTAACCGTCAGTTGAGTAGAATGCAGGCTGGAGACTTAGTGCTCATAGAAGAGGAAAAGACACCACGACATTTGTGGCGCACAGGACGTGTCCAAGAGCTTCTTCACGGGAGGGACGGAGTCGTACGTTCATGCTCCGTTGCCTTGCCAGGTGCACAAGTGCTGAAGCGACCAGTGCAACTGGTGTACCCCTTAGAACTTGTAGAATGAATGAGCGTTTATTGGTGCGCTCATTTCGGGGGGAGCGTGTTGCGAATTGCCGAAAGAGCTCGTGGGACTGCGGGCAAAAAGAGAAGAAGAAAGAAGTCGAGAAAAGAATGGACTGATGCGCGAGGACCTCGGAAAAGCTTCCCCTGGACAGTTGCCTGTACATATGTAACTATCCCGTCAGTAAATAAGTGTATTTATTTTCGATTCAACAACCTCGAACGAATTATTCTGCCTGTAAGTACGACACCGCGCATGCGCGGTAGCTATGTGGGCAAAAGCAGCCCGGTTCTCCAAGTTTTCGCCATTGCGTCATGGCGTCCTATGGCGTGCGCTCGTTGTTGACGTTGTAGAGACGCTTGTACTTTATTTGTGCGTCGTATTTCCTGGCAACGTGTGTCGTATGCTATGCCCGACTATTTGAGATCACTGCCCGAGCCTGAACGGCAGCGGTATTGAAACAAACTGTGCGTGACGGCGTTGCCTACGAGGATTCGTACGTCGTAAACAAGGCCTGCTGGACTTCCGACGTAAAGTTTCTGTCACCGAAGTCGACGGCTCACGTCGTTGTTTATTTAGTTTTTTTCCCAAGCCAGTTCACGACCGACACGGTGCTGGCGTACAAGTCTCTCGAGGCCTACGATTACTTCGAGTCGGTTTCTTTACTGCCGGCAGGAGCAGCAGGCTGAGGGTCTGCGCAAGTGTATTCATTAATTGGTTAAATACACACAGCGTCTTCAAGTCAAGGTTTGATACTTTTCCTACCCTCATGACCACAAGGCATGACAAGCAGTAACGCTTTGTCCGTTCTGCAGTCTTCGCGGTAACACGTTCGTTACAAATAACGGCGTTGCCGGTAACGCGTTACTTTTTTCAGTAACGTAAAACCTGCACTTTACGTTTCGACACAGTAATGGCAAGTAACGTAGTAACGCACGTCGAGTAACGTAGTTACGTTACTATTTCAAGTAACGTAGTTACGTTAGTCTTTACTGGTTCCCAAGTCTTAAAGAAATTACTCTTCATTTTTTTTCCGTGTTTCGGGTGTCAAGCCTTGTTTTTCTTTGCGTTTTCTCTCCTGAGTATTTAGGTGAAACCGCAAAGAGATAAAGTAATTATGTTCAGTTTCTGCATGAACATAATGTTTCTTGATATATGACCTGTATCGTGAAAACCGTAAAATGTGTTAAATTATAAATTAAAAAAGTAACGCAGAAGTAACGTGCGTTACTTTATATCGGTAGCGGTAACGCGTTCCTTTTATTTTTAGGTAACGTAGCTCAGTAACGCGTACCTTTCATTTGCAACTAACAAGTAACGTGTTTCGTTACTTTTTTTCGGTAACGTCTACAACACTGCTGTTCTGTCGCCAATCCCCTTCTGCTGGGTAGCACGGGCGTATCGAGCCTCCGACGAGCGCTTGGCCGATGCTTTGGGTGCGAACACCATGAGAACAAAATCCGGGTGGTCTCGATCACACGACGGTTTCCCTGCACATAAGCAAGCCCCACGACGTAGATTGAAATGGAATTTGGTCAATACTTCAGCTTGGGCGAGTTGGTTAAACATGCTAATACTTCGCAGCGCACAACAGACAACACACCATCAAAACAGATACACACAAAGAAACAACACTCACGCAGCGCTGACTGTCAACTCTCGGATATATTAATCTTCGTTCTTATCTTTCACCCTTACGCACTAAAAAAGAACTAAATGTTAACCAAGGAAGAACAGCGAAAGAAAAATAAAAATAAAAAGAAAGGGGAAAGATTAATATAGGAAAGAAAGATGGAAAGAAATGGAAGAAAATAAGATCTAGTCCTACTACAGTAAAATTACTGAGGAGGTTTTCCTAAATAATATAACTCTTTTCTTGATAAGCTAATCGACGGGGTACTAACGCATACTCCGTCTAGCAGGTCTATGCTCGCGGCTTCGATGATTTCTCGAGTTAGTTTGTTGTTGCTTCGTCCCAGTACTGTGCAATTGCCCAGAAGGGGGGAACATCCACAATCTCTACAATGAATGCCCAGATGGCCTGAGTTAGCGTTAATGGCGTTGCAGTTATGTTCCCGGAGCCTGTCATTGAGACAGCGCCCCGTCTGCCCAACGTAACGCTTCCCGCACGTAAGAGGGAACGAATATATCACTCCCTCTGCACAGGAAACGAACTTGGTCTTGTGATTTTTCGTGCAGCACTCTGTTCGAAAAATCACAAGACCAAGTTCGTTTCCTGTGCAGAGGGAGTGATATATTCGTTCCCTCTTACGTGCGGGAAGCGTTACGTTGGGCAGACGGGGCGCTGTCTCAATGACAGGCTCCGGGAACATAACTGCAACGCCATTAACGCTAACTCAGGCCATCTGGGCATTCATTGTAGAGATTGTGGATGTTCCCCCCTTCTGGGCAATTGCACAGTACTGGGACGAAGCAACAACAAACTAACTCGAGAAATCATCGAAGCCGCGAGCATAGACCTGCTAGACGGAGTATGTGTTAGTACCCCGTCGATTAGCTTATCAAGAAAAGAGTTATATTATTTAGGAAAACCTCCTCAGTAATTTTACTGTAGTAGGACTAGATCTTATTTTCTTCCATTTCTTTCCATCTTTCTTTCCTATATTAATCTTTCCCCTTTCTTTTTATTTTTATTTTTCTTTCGCTGTTCTTCCTTGGTTAACATTTAGTTCTTTTTTAGTGCGTAAGGGTGAAAGATAAGAACGAAGATTAATATATCCGAGAGTTGACAGTCAGCGCTGCGTGAGTGTTGTTTCTTTGTGTGTATCTGTTTTGATGGTGTGTTGTCTGTTGTGCGCTGCGAAGTATTAGCTTGAAATGGAAGCCGCACTTGCCTTCAAGAAAGTGCTTGACGCACAAACGGTCGTTCGTGTGAGGCGACCATTTTTTTCGATCCACAGATATTACCCACCTTCTATGCCTTTCAGAGTCAGCCGGGAACTTGTGGAAACTTACTCCGCAACTTTTTTTGTACCTTTCGGTGCTATTAATGGCAACACAGCTTCGCGGCATGCTGAAATGCTTTGACGCCCATGCGAAACGTGCGCGCTTTTGCCCACACCACCCGGCTCCGGCGCGATCGCAGCGCCGCCGGAGCTCCGTGACGTCAAGCCCGCTTGTCGGTCTATAGTTATGGCCGGTGATTTTAATTTTCCAGATATAGATTGGAATTGTGTGATGAGGGCCCAATGGGATATGCAATCAGTCTAGGCTTTTTGTTGATATTGCTTTTAGTAATAATTTAAGCCAAGTGGTCAAGCGTTCCACTCGTGTGTCAAATGGCAGGGAATCCTTGATGTAACTCGTGTTTTTATTTGAGGTCGTTACAAGAAGTATTCTTGACGTATCAATCGCGGATGGCGTACCTTACCATGCAATAGCTGTGTGGAACGAAGAGAAATCCTATCATGATTTCCACAGCGCGATTGATATCGACATTATAAACCTCTTGCAAGTTGCTCTAGACAGATTTCTCGCGTTTTACGATGCGAATCCGGACTCAGTATAGAAGCCTTGGCTCTTTCTTAAGCAAGTCATCCTTACATGGGTTGATAAGTTTTTTTCCAGAGCGACCGGGAAAAAGGAAGAGGCACAATCCATGGGTGACGCGCGATATTTTACATTTAAAACGTAATATAAATCGAGTAGATAGGTTCCAACCAAGTTTAAATTTTATGCTTCCTCCTTTTCGCCAAGAGCTATGGATCTTGTGCGCAGATCTAAATATCGTTACTTTAATGTCACTGTGGACAACTTTCTCATAGAATATCCAAAAAATTTCTGGGATCATTTGGCAAAAAAAGAAAGTGTGATGATTAAGGAGCTTATTAATAGCGGGCAGACATTTGCCGATGAAGCGAGCATAGCAAGTGAGCTTAATTATTTTTTTTTTCTCTTCTGTCTTCACCGTTGATAACTGTACGCTGCCTTCTTTTAATCATGGCAGTTGTGGAATCAATGACTTGATGGTTTTTACAGAAAGTATTTTAACAGTCTTTTGCAATTAGACGCTAGAAAGTCGAGTGACCCCAATGGAATTTCTAATGCTTCCTTACGAAGGTACGCTGAATGATCTTCCAAGTATCTTTACGTGATTTACTCTTGTAGTTAAAAAACTTGTGACGTGCCTCAAGATTGGAAAGTAGCCAAAGTTGTCCCTATATATAAAAGTGGAGAGAAAAAAAGTGTTTACAATTACAGACCAGTTCCATTTTTGAGTGCATGTAGCAAGGTTCTCGAGCACTTCATATTTAAGGACATCGTAGCTTTCCTAGCATCTGAAACTTTCTTACTAGATTATCAACAAGGGTTCCGAAGAGGCTTTTCGGCAGTGACACAGCCGCTTCATACGGTCCACAATTTTGGTTCAGTGATTGATAACAATGGTCAAGTCGACACTATGTTCTTAGACTTTCCGATGGTGTTTGACAGGGTTTCGTATCGCCAGTTACTGCATAAATTGAAGCAACTGTTGGGCATCGCCTACTAAGGTGGATAGACTCGTACCTTACGAACCGTAAACAGGTTATGTTTCTAGGCAACGCCAAATCAATAGAGTTACCTGTTCTTTCTGGAGTGCCCCGGGGCTCGGTACTCGGACTGTTGCTCTTTTTTTTTTTATCAATGACCTGCGAGTTGATAAGCCCTTGATAGACTGCCGGTTTTTTTTTTTTTTTTTTTTTTTTTGCTGATGATTGTGTATTTTTTTTAAATATACCATGTGTATCTAAGTAAAAATGCTTAGAGGAGAGTATTCAAATGATTTCATTGTGGTGTCAAGAATGGCAAATGGATCTGAATGTCAAGAAATGTGTGCAGATGCCAGTTACACTGAAGAAGGTGCTTATCTTTTTTTTCTTATTCTATTCAATCAAATGCCTTAGAACTAGTTAATGAATACGAGTATCTGGGTGTTACTATCACGTACAACTTAAGCTCGGCTAGTCATAATGAGCAGACTGTCACGAAAGCGCCAAATAAATTGTGGTCGCTACGTAGGAAAATTTGTCACTGTGCTCCTGCGACAAACCTGACGGCCTATAAATCGCTGATTCGTCCTTTGCTGGAATATGCTGACGTTTTGTGGGACCCGCAATCCCAACCACTCATTGACCAATTGGAAGGCCTTAAAAAAATCCCTTAAATTCATTTAAAACTCATGCGGCAAAAATTCAAACGAAGGAAAGTAAAGCGTTTGAAATTTTTGCATAATATAATTCATAATAAAGCTGGTTTAAATTTTGATGATTATTTGCAGTATAGCGCGAGTCGTGATACAAGGCAGAAGCACGAGAATTTGTTCGTTGAGTTCCGCTGTAGAAAATATATCTTTCAATACTCCTCTTTTCCTCGTTCTGTTTGTGAGTGGAAAGAGTTGCCACCAAGTGCGACGGCGATTGCTTCTACCGGTTTATTTGCGAGTGCAGCTGATGTATTTCGTCATTCTTGTCCAGCTTGCTTGCACCTTTGCATTTAATTGCATTATAATTATTTCTCCTTGCATAGTGCCCTAATTAAGATATTTATGTTCAGGGATTTCTCGTCTTGTTTTTTTTTCAGTTATTCAGACAAGAAGTTAAATTCCAAGGCTGTGAACCTACTCTTGATGCGGGATCCATGCATCACTAGCCTCGTTTACATGAATACGACTTCAGCCCATCGACTCCAATCGTCCTCTGAAAGAAGTCGGCGCGGCAACGTTTACATGAATGCGCACCGTACTCTATGCAAAGGTAGCGCCACGCCGTGTCAAAGCTCAAAGTTAAAGCTGCGTTTCCGGCACCGGCCACACCACGTGACCACGTTTTCCGGTGCATAGCACGTGACGTGCGTGAAGGCGTCGACGCTTTCGACGAGCTTAAACTAAATATGGTGCCCGCTGTCTTCGATGCTGTGCAAGCAGCAGCGTACCGACTTGTCTTTGAGCGGGGGGGGGGGGGGAAGTCAAACCCCCCCCCCCCGGGTCGGGGGGTGGCGCCCGTGGCATCTCTCGGGCGCCGACGGACAATGTTTGCCCTGCCCAGTGCGGCTGGGGGGGGTAAACTCATGCCTCGCCCCCCACCACTCTAAAAAACTAGGGGGGGGGGGGCAAGCGCCCCCCTTGTTCCTTCGGTTGGTACGCCCACGTGTGCAAGGAGTTACGAGACAGAAGAAACATCAAAACCCAAAGGTCTCGGGCTCCGGGTCGGGCCGCTGGGCCACTCTGGATCAGAGGCGACGTGCGTGCCCACGGCCTGGCGAGCGAGATCGTAGTGAACCACTCTGAGGACGCCACCGCTCTTCGCCTCGCCATACCTTGCTAACCACGACCGGACCCCGAGGCCGAAAGGCTCCGGCGTAGCCAGGGACGGCACCGTGGTAGGAGCTGCTCGTTCTGCGCTACCATGCAGTGGTCGGAGCTCTCGGCGTCGTTCGTGCTTGCGCCGAAGCCTCTAGGCACTCCCTTGGACACACAAGTCGTATTTTGCAAGGCTTAGGCGGGGGCCGCCCTCTCCGAGCAGCTCAGTGATATTGCGCTCATTTAGTTTGGCAATAAAAGCTCACGTTTCTTCTCGGGAGGAACTGCGGGCGACCACACGGAACCGCTGTCCATCGCCGCCGGCGAAGTTGGCCGCCGCCATGTTCTCAGCTGTTCTCTCGCTCCTGCAGCGAGCGCCTTCCCATAATCCTCCCCGTTTCGAAATGCGATGCGACCTCCGTTTACGTGGGTTGACTGAATGCGTATTCGCCGTCTCGATCCACCTCTGCCTGGCGACTTGAATGCGATGCGCTTCTCTAGCGCATAATGCCGTTTTCATGACCGCGTCAAATGCGGCAACTAAATTCGATGCGACTAAGTCGCGTTCATGTAGACCCGGCTACTGTTGCGACTGAAACCGGATGTTTCAGTGGTTGTTAAAAAATAGATATATTCCTCACCGTATGGTATGTAGGCTGGCACTAACCCTTAACGAAAACTAATACGTTTGAATTAGGTTTGACTATATTTCGATTGCATTTTAAGTATATCGTATATTTTAAAATAACTAAAAGTTCATTAAAACAATTAGATGCGTATCAAAGAAGTGTATCAATAAAATTATGTCTAAAAGCAGCGTGACAAGATGCAATGCCTGGTACGACAATCGCAATTTCAAAATCAGCCGTAATTACATAACTGTGTTTAATTATCCTACAACTCAGTACATACCCATAGTGAAAAATCGTATTCTTGTAAGAAATGTGTTGGTCCAATAAGCGCATATGATCAAATAAGCTCGTATAGAAACATATAATAACGGAATAAGAACATATAAGAATAATATAGGATTATGTAGAAAGTTTTAAAAAAACGTCTTTTACAATTTTTACATATTTTTATATTTTATTTAAAGGTTCTTATCTGTTCTCGTATAATCTTATTTGATCACATGCGCCTATAGCACCAAGACACTTAAGAAACAATTAAGATTTTTTACTAGAAACGTATTCACTCAAGCAATGCGAGTGCTTATCACGGAAGGTATGGTGTCTATAAGAGGTTTAAGTCAATAAACCATGTGACAAATCATACAACGAACTGGTTTTGTTGATAGTGTGAAAGCATGTATTTGTATTCGTTTTATTTCGATATCATTTACAAACCTCGTCAAGCGCTTACTGGTCGCAAAGTTTGTCGCACAAAACCACCACTATTTATTAGTTGGTGATATATTGAGAACTGAAAATTAGAGATATATCAAAATGTCTAAATATTCGGCGGCAAGCTATATGAGTAAATTTCAAATGACGTTTAGCTGCAACCTTAGCCGGAGAGGGGGTGAAACCTTGGTGGAACCAACGGTGAAACCTTGGTTGTCCAAACACGCAGCAAGTATAACGCTGATACGTTGGGAAACATTAATTTTAAGGTGGACTCCGAGCGTGAAAAAAATTAGGTAAAGTTAACATTTCACTATAGAATAATGTATCTGATACCAAAATAGTCTCATCATATTTGGAGTAATATAATGAGAAGTTGCTTTTTTAGTAACATCACACGCTGTAACTTTTTCGTTGTCTCTGATCGCTTTTTCGAGAATGCGGTCCACTCCTACTTTTTCGGCGACAAAGCCCGTGAGAAATACATCTTCTAAGCAGATGAACGGCACCTGTTCCATCGCATTGTAAAGGCGGCGCAAAGTTCTGCCGCCCAGCACATAGAAGGCTCCAGCTACAAAGGGCGGATATTCGGTTCCCTTGTACTCTTCTTTAGAGACGTACCACTTGGAAGACGAATTTCTTCTGGGTTGTTCATTCACATGTAATTCTCCATATATGGCGTCTCTACTCTTGTCCTTCGTTACTTTCAGAATGTTCCCCACGTTTACGAACGTATCGTCGTCAGACTTGAAAAGGAAATTTACATGCGGGCAGAATCGCATAACCCACGTCATCATCATTTTCGTTTTAAGAGTTAGATTTCGATAGTGGTCAAAGAATGTCCCCTGGATGATATCGGCATGAAGGTATGACTCAGTCTCAATGGAGCGCTGGACTTTGTCGTCTTCCGTCCTCGCCAAGAGAAAAGCTGTACGGATATTCGGATGCCTCTTCATATCAAAGACCCAAGTTTCACGAACGGCCTTCCTTTGGTCGAAGTGATTAGGAGCAGAGTAGATCAAGACCAAGTAGTCAAGATGAATCAGGGAATTTCCTCTTTTGCATAAATTTGCTGGGAGAAGAATGTAGTCTTCAGTTCCTGGACTTTCACGGTTCTCTTGTGTGTTTTCTTCTATTATCTTACTTCGTGTGCGGGAGCCATCCTCAACGATGCTAAAGTTTTTAGCACACATTCTATTCTCCCGGTCAAGGGGAATGAACCAAAGAATCATCACCACTGCAACGATGACCAGACTTAAGAATAAGTGACAAGCTCTGCACTTCTTCATGGATCAATCAGCCTGCAAGAAAGAAATCACATGTTTAGAAGCCTTTCTTGTTCGTAGTTTGAAAAAACACTCCGAAGTCTGTAAGTAATCAAAATACTTAAAGCAGTGGAAAATAACTCAGCAGATACTGGAGAATAAAATGATTTGCCCTCTTCAAATTATAAAACTACGCACTAAACAGTCTTTCTTTTTTTTTTTTTTTTTGTTTCGGGGTTTTGTAGTTGAAAGCTAGCTAAGATAAAACGAAAAACATTTATTTTGAGCCGGGTTGTTATCAATGTATTTTTTAGCTACAATTTTGCAAGATTGAGGCAAAGACGAGCTACTGAAGTTTCGCTTGTCTTAAAGTTTGTAAAAAAAAGCTACGGTGAAATTTTCAATCTAAATAATAATAATAACGTACAACTCGAACATTGACAATTACATACATATGTTGTTGTTTTTTTTGTTGTTGTTTTTTTGGATGAGCGCAGAAATAAGAATGGAATTTTATAACTTAGTAATTGTTAACAAAATAATTATATTTGAGAGGTAAAGCCAGCTGATTTTAGTTTCAGGAGGATTCAAGGACGTTTTAGAGCATTATTTTGGTATTGGCAGTGGTTTCCAAATATTATACCAGGGGTGGTTTCTATGTTTTAAAAATCAAACGTTTTTCTTTTTTTTGCTGCGGGTGATTATTTGGAGTCTTTGTGGCTGCAACGCTGTGCAGTTTGCACGGTTTTCTAAATTTTTTTTTTTAATTTGCGCCTCCACTCAATGATTATCTGAGCCTTTTGTGACCTTCCTTGAATTTATGCGCTGTCTATTGCTCCTGTCTTGTTATATGAGCTCCAACAGGCTGCCAAGTTAATTTTAACAGTACTATATGTCAAAATACATACATTTTCCGGAAAAGAAATGTGTATGAGCCTGAAGGTGCTGAGGAATTTCACTGTTTCTTTTAGTAGGGTAAAGTTATTTGCTTTTTTAGCTATAGGTGCAGAAAAAAATATTGACAGCGAGTTCTACACCTAAAGTCCTATAACTAGAATCGAAATGAAATTGAGAGGGTGTTCATTAAAATTCATTTTCCGCAAAAAAAAAATTGGGGTTTGTCAGAGTTTACTATCTTTTATATTCCCAATTCCCTGAACTTTGGATTTTATGTTACTCTGCTCTCAATTTTCAAACATTCAAAAACAAAAATAATGTCCGGGTGCCACACCCCTTTGCACTGAAGGAGCCTTGTTGAGCTAAGACGCAAACCTTTTTTGCCAATAGTTGGAGATTTCCAAGCAAACTGAAGTGGAATATCCTCAGGCGCACTGACCTGTGCTCTCATAAAAAGTTTGTTTTTTTATCTTTTTTTTTTTTTTTGCTGTTACTTTGACATTTGTAGTTTCCCGGATAAATCCGAATTGATGCGAAAGTTGTCGGAGAGTCTATTTCGGATTTATCCGAAAACACGGAACACTCTAGAACGTAAGAAATGTATTTACGAAGCGACAATTTAAATTTGTTAAAGAAGGCATTGAACAACGGAAAATTTAGAAGGGGAACTGAATTGGTATCAAGGTCACTTCATTTCAATTTTGTTTTTGAAGTTAGCTGGAAACTATATCAGTGTGTAGGCCAGATGACGTCGGGTCGCGTGACATCAATTTCCCCACCAAATTTAGAGGGGCAACTGCCTTGGTGTAAGGTCACGTGACGTAAAGTTTGCCGTTAAATTTAGCGGGAAAACTGATTTTGCTTTTAGGTATCATGACTTCGTGCCACTTGACATCAAAGTTTTCGCGAAAGTGGAACTGAATTGGTGTTTACGTCACGTGAGGTCAATTTCCCCGCTATATTTAGCGTAATATGCACGGACGGTCGGACGGACGGCCGGTGGGATGGGCGAATTTTCGGAATGAGAGTTCCCTTCAAAAGCCCTTGATTGTTTAACATTATCAACGTCTTCGTTCTATGGTAATATAGGCTCCATCAGATATATCCTTTCATAAACTCCTCTTCTTTACATTTCAAGTATTTTAGTTGCTTTTTGTATTTTTAGAATGATGCATTGAGAACATCAGCTACTTACTTTTCATTTTCTGGTCATGTTTTTGTACGATAAATTACTATTTAGTGCTGCAACCTTGCCAGCTCATCGATATAAAATATTACGCTAAAATAAAATTTACGCTTATTGTCAGTTGTAGTTCTCAGTGGGTGTGTGAATTGAGGTATCCTCCAAAAGAGCCTTACGCCGTGCGCTCACTTGCGAGTCGCTCCACTCACGTGAAAGCTTTCTGATATCCGAAAGGCTGCCGAACTATAAACCACACTGTTTTGCAGGAGTCTCTGGCCGCTTTATTTTTTTACCCTGCCCATGCTAGCTCCCGAGCTGCTGAAATCAGCGACACTTTAAAAGTGCCGTGTCGCAGTTCTAATTTTCGCTTCCGATTTTTTAATCAGAAAATGTTAAAGCGTCGCATATAACGTTTGATTTAGAAAACGTTAACCTTGCAAACTTTTTCGCCTGGTACCAGTGACTACCGCTGAATTTGAGGGAGGACTGTGTGTCAGGCAATTCCTCGTTGAGTTTTTGTGCTTTGAAAAACACGGTTCCTTTCTGGTCCTGAACCCCCGGTACAACCTACATGTCCATATTGCCACGCGCGTCGGCGAGCGAGCGCGTGCGTGACCGAGTGGTCACGCACGCGCAAACTTTTTCGCCTGGTGCCAGTGACTACCGCTGAATTTGAGGGAGGACTGAGTGTCAGGCAATTCCTCGTTGAATTTTTGTGCTTTGAAAAACACGGTTCCTTTCTGGTCCTGAACCCCCGGTACAACCTACATGTCCATATTGCCACGCGCGTCGGCGAGCGAGCGTGTGCGTGACCGAGTGGTTATTGTGCTTTCGTGCGGAAGCCCAGTGTTCGATCCCTGGGAGCGGTGCGTCTTTTATTTATTTTTTTCAATTTAGATTTCTGGCTAATTCAAGAACCTTGTTGATTGTTTGAGGTCCCAATGTTCTACATGCCGAAGCTTCTACGCCGATTGTTCCAGGAGCTCACGCGTGTACATAAAGGGCTTCGCGTCACGAGCCGCAGTCAGTCTCGCCCCAGCGTTTGATCCTCCTGTTACGCCGACTTCGACGCCCGCGACGCTCTCTTGTCATCCTCTGTTTCATTTTTGGCTTTGGGCACAAGTTCGCCCCATTAAACATTTTAGTTTTCCTCAGTTATTCTTTGCTTCGTCACCTCAACATTTGTTACATGTTAGTGGAGGTGCGGTTTGGACGCATGTCCGTGCAGCGCACGCTCCGAGGGCCCGCGGTGCAAAGTCCGACCCCAAGCCCCCCAAGACCCAACGAAGAGACGACCGAGACCCGATCAAGTCGCCGCAACCAAGGCCTACCCCCGGAATCGGGACACTCGCCAATCAAGACCAAGCAGTCAACGAGGCCGACGACGGGCAACCAGTCGTCGAGACCCCGGCCGCCACTGCCGTCGTTTACCTGCCCGTCGCACGACGGACGGCTGCTCTGTACCACAGCGAGCAATGCTAAGACGTCGACGACTGGATCGACCAGTGCGAGCGCGTTGCCCACCGCTATGGCTGGACCGAAAAGCAGCGCCCTCACAACTTCAATTTTTCACTTGAGGGGGCCGCCAAGCACTGGTCCGAAAATCATGAGCCCTCTTTGACATCCTGGGACATTTTCAAGACCGGATTTGATGGGCACATTTATCAACCACCACAGCCGAGAGAGAGCCGAGGACCTACTGCAAACCAGAACCCAGGGCCCCAACCAGGGCGTCACCGGCTTGGTGGAGGACGTTCTGCGCCTGAGCGCTCGCGCTGACCTTCGTGTTACAGAAGAGAAGAAGCTGCGAATCCTCATTCGAGGCGTGAGAGACAATATCTTCGGCGGCCTTGTCCGCAGCCCTCCGACAACGGTCGAAGCAGTCGAAGATTTTCTCACCGAGGCAATGACCATCGAGCGTGCCCTGGAAGCCCGAGCCAGTCGCTACCAGCGACTACCGAGCCTCGTTGTCCTCGGGCTGTCTAGCCGCGACTTTGGCTCCAGCATCCCAGTCCTTCGCGAGATCATTCGCGACGTCGTCCAGGAAGAGCTCCGAAAGCTGCTACCCACCGCTCACCGACTAGCTACGCTCTCCATCGCGGAGGCCGTGCGGGAATATGTCCAGAGAGCCATCTAACCAGAGGCTTCCATCGTCGTGGCGGCCCCCGAGGAACCAACGTTTACTTACGCCGGAGTGGCCCGACACCACGCCGCGCCACCCCGAAGTCAGTCTCCTTCACCGCAGTACGACCGACGCCACGACGACCAGGTCCAGTACGCCTGCCAGAAGCCCCGCCCACCCCGGAAGACCGACGTGTGGCGAATGCCCGACCCACGCTCCCTGTGCTTCCACTGCGGGGAAGCAGAAAACACCTAGCGCCGAGCGTCAATGCCCATACCGACTACTCCGGCTGCACGGGTTCCACCCGAATGACCCGCGCCTCCATTATGGTGAACGCCCTCGGGACATCGACGAGTACCTGCGACGACCACAGATTTCCGAGCCTGCGTCCCGCTGAGAGTTGCGGTCGCCGTCGCCGCGACGTCCAGCTTCGCCGATGGACGCGCCGACCGCGACATGAAATCCTGTCGCCCCTCGCTCCTCGCCGGGGAAACTAGGCGCGGACAGCCTGGAGGTGGCGTTGCCAGAGACGAATGAAGAGCCTCCAAGAACGCCGGAGCGCTCCCACTTTCCTGACACAAGGCATCGTGGCGACGCCCCGGCAACAGTGTCCAACAACCTCAACGTTGATAACAACCTAAACGTTGTTATCAACGGCCACGAAGCATCGGCACTCGAGGACACCGCAGCAGACTACTCAGTCTTGAGTGCGAAGCTCTCTCGCCGCCTACGAAAAGTGATGACGCTGTGGGATGGACCTCAAATACGAACCTCCGGAGGGCACCTTATCACTCCAGTCGGAAGGTGCACTGCTGGCGTCGA